TATAAAATTCTATGTTAAAATTAGAATTATAGTCAATTTTTGCTGTAATGCATTTATATTAGGCACCCTTTTCAAAGAACGTCATACTGCCAGCAATTAGAAATATAAATATACAGAAATATAAATATAACTATAATATTATATGAATAGTATATTGTCAATGCATGTCGTTTGTATATGCCAATAGCATTGTTAATATAATACGATATGCACTGTTATCGTGGAAATAAAAATAATGTGAACATCCTAAGTTAAAGTTATATTGCAGACTATAAAATTAATTTAATCATCCAAATAATTCAACAATTTTACAGATATTCTTTCGCTCTTCAAGAAAATTAGAAATGACTAAATGGCGGGGGTGCGACATTCGACATGCAAGTAAGCTGCGAAATGTCGTTTGCTTGGAGAGGGAAATCCCTACCCCGGCGCACTGTCAAAAAGACAATGCTTTAAGGTAGGTAGGGAAAGTCCCAATAAGTAAGGGTCCTTTTCGCTTCGTAGCTACCCCGGCCTTCTACAGACACAGCGTACGGCGTCTCTTTGCTTGTCACTTCGTCAAGAAATAACAAATTTCGTGACAGAGTCAAAGGTTTTCTCAGATTCACTACATCGGAGAAGACAGCCAAGCTTCCAAGATGACTATTAAATCAAACAATCCACCTAAGAATTCATCTGATAAAGTCCAAGTGAGTACAAAATTATTTGAATCGGTAGAAGTGACAGTGGGGGAAAGGAATAGAAGCACGGACGTAAAGGACGGTGTACAGATCTTAGAGACGCAGGGGCTGAAGCTTTATCCGCGGAGGGGAAACTGACAATATGGCCATTTTCTGTTGTTAATTATACTTGCGTTTACGCCTGTGTTTGCATGTCACGGCCACGTACATGTGTGCTGGAGACATGAGTGTTGACCATAAAAAATGGCTAAAATCTTAGATATTTCTTCCGTTTCTGTCCTATTCAGTTCACCGTTCTTTAGATCCATGAATAGAAATCAGTGGTGGAACGAGGTGAACGTCATAGTGGTGGATAATTAAACCATTACGATTTTTACTTTAATTTTAATTAATTACATTCATATAATATCAATTTTATTTTCCTGATTATTAAATCAACCATTTTATTCCTGAATTATTTTTTATGAGAAATTCATTTTATTATTTTTGGATTATGGAACCTGCAAATAATCTACAAAAAAGATATATTTTTTAGAATCTGTTGCAAATTAAATATATCGCGTTAGAAAGACTTTTCAGCCGGATAAAAGATCGTTTGACATTCAAGAATACAAATATACGTCACAGTTCATTATAGATTGAATAAGAATTTCAGAAATTTTACGGACAAAATGCTGCCGGTTTTGACAGAAATTATCAGACAATGACACCGTCAGGAGTGAAAGGATTAATTACAATTTAATCCTACATTATTATTTCTCTCACTCGCGCCATGATATTATAATAAGAATGCGTTAACTAAGTTTTTTCCTTACAGAAACGCAAATCCCGAGCGCAAAAGTGTAGAGGTAGATGCCCCTGCAAGAGGAAGTGCCAATCGCGGGTCCAGCGTACATTAGGAAGGTCGGACAATAATTATAAACTGGTAAATACATACGCCCAGAACACCAAACAGTGGTCCGCAGCTGCTCTTACTATAGCTTCTACATCTACTGCTAGTACATCGATGGCAGACGAGCCACCGGAATTCTTGAACTACTTAGGCCTGATGCCAAAAGATGGGCAGCCTTCGCAGCCAGCACAAGAACAGAGGGTGGAGGAGGACTCAGAATTTCGAAAGCCACGCATTTACTACTGCGACTATTGTCCTAAAACATTCTACGTCAAGCACGTCCATTTAAAACATACAATCCGTCATATGAAGAGGACTTACTGGTGTTTCAAATGCAAAACGCCATTAGCTTGTATGCAGGAGACATTTAGACACCGTTGTCAACTTCCATTGAGAAAATATTAAATCGTTTTTTGCGAATTGATTTCTGATGAAAATGCAAAATCGAATTTCTTACGCACTTCATTCGAAAATAGGAAGGCCAGATTTAACATATTTTATTGTCAATGTATAATACAAAGTAATTATAGTTGATACAAAGTAACTGGCGTATCTTACATTAGGGAATGTCATACGCATCCCGTTTGAAAACAGGAAGGCCAGATTTAAAATGTTCTATTGTTGATATAAAATAATTGAAGACCAATTGAAGTAACTCGCGTATCTATCATTGTTAATTGTTAAAATAATGTATCTCAAATTTGCACTTTCTGTTTTCCAATGGGCTGCGTAAGAAATTCCTTAATTTAAGATACGCGAGTTACTTCAATTCAATTATTTTACATTAACAATAGAATAACTTAAATCTGGCCTTCCTGTTTTCAAACGGGATGCGTATGAGATTTCCTAATTTAAGATACGCCAGTTACTTGCATCAACTGCAATTATTTTGTATTATACATTGACAATAAAATATGTTAAATCTGGCCTTCCTATTTTCGAATGAAGTGCGTAAGAAATTCGACTTGTATGAAATAAGATTTTCATGAAAATTTTAGTATTTTTTTAAGAACAAAACTTTACAACGGTGTTTAGATCTCTAGATCTAGTGGCTGATAGGTATTTTGTATTTTGATGATGATATGAAACCAGTTCGGACAGTAAAATATGTCAAGTTTTTTTACTTTAGACAGACAATGAAATATGTTAAATCTTATTATTTCGCGAGTTAGTTCGTATCATTTTCAATTATTTTTTAC